AAGATACACTTTAAGCACGAAAACCATTACAGTGAATTTAAAAAGGTGTCTGCGTTTTACATTTTCTCAATTTTTTACATGTTTAATGGGTAGAAAATTCTGACCTAATAGAAAGGTGCTCTTTGTCTATTTAAAAAGAATCCGAAATGTAAAAGCTTGAAAAAGTGACATTTCACGCAAAAATCTATAYTTCTAGCTGTTAAATACATTTTGTTGTACTTGGAGTCTCTAAGAGTGCAGAAAAGTTATTTAGTTTCTCCCATTGCTGCATAGATATATTTATATTCTGTTTGGGTCATACTTTTCAACCCGTTCAGTTTTCTCTATTTTCTACGACGTTTTCTGAACTATTATTACATCAAAGTATTTGCATCGGAACATCTTGGCTCCAACATGTAAGGCTGGATGGACAAGTCTTCTCTCGTTGACATCTTTTTAATTAATTTGTTAAAAACGTTTATGCACGCTATATGGTCGTGAACCCCTCTATCAAAAAATATCGAAGTATATCTTCTGAGATGGACGTTTTTTTATTTCTGTTGTTTTTATTGCTTCAAGCTAAATATCTGAAATTTCAAGTTAAAATAACTTATTTTTCATTAATTTCATGATACAGGTCAAAAGTCATACAATCAATGTACTTTTTTTTTTTTTTGCTCAAAACAGCATTTCTTTTATCACTTGTCTTCAACTAAAAATGGTACAAATTCAAAATTCAGAGCAAGTTCTCTAATATCAATTTAAGAACTAGCATTCCTTTAACAAATGCATAAAATCACATTATGCTGAGAAGGACAGGATTATCTGTTTACTGGTCAAACGATTGAAATTATGTTAAGCGTTATCTGATGTAATATTGCAAGATCGCATRTTAGTTCTTGAATAAAGTAGTAAAAAAATATATTTTCTTAGAGCTTAATTAAAATCTGTCCAGTGGTTCATGAGATGTTTTGCTCTTCAACGAACCGGGTTGATACCAATAATTAATTCCAAATAAAAAAAGTAAAGAAATGTTTAGCAAAGTATTTTGTGAATGACTCTCAGCTACTACCAAATTACATTTTTGCCCAAAATCTGTAAAACCGACTGAGTTACAGTCATTTTTGTATTGGCTGATGTTGATTAGCCATGGTGGCTATTGTTAATTAAGCAGCTGTAGATGTGCATCTAGCATTACAGTGGTTCATTGGATATTTTGCTAACAATTAGAACAAAAACATGCACACAGAAAAATAAAAACAAAAACATAGGTTTCACTTTTGGTTGCAGGTAATAAAAAAACCCTCATTAGGGTGAATCAAAGACAAACATAAATTAACAAACCTAAATGTCATAAAATTATTTTGTATACAATGTCCTAAGATTTGTATTGTCTACATAAATGTATTTGCTTGTGCCAAGTTTTTAACATCAGCAAATCTGTCCTATTTTGATAATAATTCAAGAGCATTAAGTGATAATCAGGGTGAGKATTTGGTTTTGGCAGACAGTGTGAGATCTGTACAGTCACCAATAAAAAAAGCTATAGCTCACAGACAGATAATAGTAGAGGAGTGATGATTGGTTTGAGAGAAATGAAGTGAATAGTCTCCTGAAAACCAATAGAGGATCAACTTTGTAGGGATGTTGACATTTCGTCAGCAGCTGCTGCCATTTTCTTCCCAAACTGCTGTGACCAGATTTTGCGAGGCTGCTCGGTGCGTTTGCTTATAATTTCCTCCTGCTTCGTTATTTCTACGAATTTCAACAAATCGGGCTGCCGTCAGGTAGTTAGCTACAGCCTCGTCTTCGAGTTTTTAATTTTTGTTGATGCATTTTGAAGAGACATTTTTTTGAAAAGAGGATCAAAGTAAATCCTCCAAGTTTTTCTGGTGACCCCTTAAATAGATAAGCTGCCGTGAAGAACATTATTTTATCTGCCCTTGTTCCAAATTTGATAATGATTTGAAACGTCAAAGTATGTTTTTTTTTAATCCGGAACAGCGCTTGTTGCAAAGTGTTTTGATGCTCGTCTTCGTCACCTGACACATTTAACGCGCTGTCATTGGTCGAGGAGCTTTGTTTACAAAACAGATGTCCACATGGTATTTAAATTGTTTTAATTTCCTTACTTTCTAAGACACATTAAGTTGATTTGATGCTACAGTTTGCCTTGTAATGTTATATTATACCTTTTCTGCTACTTTTGAATTGGCTATTATTAAGTTTTATTAGTTTTTTAGGATACAAGATGCTTCCTACAAAAACCAGAATGGGAATCTTTTTCTAAAATTTCATATCTTGAACACTGAGGAAGTTATGAGCAAAATTAGAAAACAGCAAGGTGAAATGGTCACAAAGGCCCCATTGGTTCTGCTGTGAACTGCAGCAAGAAAACATGAGCTGATTTCACCTAAACAAACATCAATAACTTCCCTCAGACTTCAGATAATCACATGATTTTGGTGATATTTTGTATGGTTTGAAATGTTCTGCTGTCAGATTTAATATTGGTGTAGGATTAAAAATTTAATATTTATTAAACTTTGCCTTATGTCTCAGTCAGTGCCGACGGTTTTTGATCTCTAGCTCTGTTTATTTTAGGGAATGATGGGAATTATGTGCAGGGATGCAGAACACGGTCGTGCACAAGAAGGTGACTAATCAAAAGTTCAATAAATACATTTATTCCTGGACAGCACACACAAAATGAGTCTTAATTTTCGGAACAGTACACATTCTGAATTGTATTATCTATGCATTAAACAATCAAACTGATTTACATGCAGCACAGAGCAGTGAAAAACACAACATAGATTACACAAACTGTAAACAAGGTCAGTAAATCGCGACTTTTCACTGAAAACCGACGAAGACGTTACGCGGTTTTTAATGTAGTTAATGATACTGAAGACAATTATGCAAACGTAAATACTCTACGTAACGTTATAAATGCATATTTACCCATTTTATTTCGGAGAAATGTCGAAATCAAACTGTCATCCCCAAAACATTGAAGGCAACCTGTTTTCCGGGTTGTACAAAATAGCCCCGCCTTTTTAACTACGCCAACCAATAGGAAACGGGGACCRTGTGATTGACGTCTAAACTACCTAATCACATAGCGCAGCGCCAAAACAACTGACAATCATGGTGAAAGCATCGACTTGGAAATGTTTGTGATTCAGGTGGCGTTTTAGATAACTAAACTGGTGAAGACATAAGGACAGTCCACCAAAATAAGCAAAGTAAGTGCATTGAAGCAATTCAGAACAGGGAGCAAGTGATTCGTTTATGTTTATCTCCCATTTATGCAACACGCTGCAGTTCAACTAATCCGTGACTATGAGCAGGAGTCGGGAACAGACCAATATGACTAGTTAAAAATCAAAGTTGGAGAAAATAGTTTTATCTGGAGACGTTAGAGTAAAGCTGTACATGTTGAGCAAATGTCTGGATTTAGAGAGTCAAGTCCCTCCCCGAAAAAAACAAAAACAAAACAAAAACAAACAAACAACAACCAACAACTCACACAGGTAAGAACAGAATTAGGTTTCAATATTTTCTCAGTAAATATTGACTCCATTAGAACCTTGTTTATGTCTTTCTTTTTTTAAATTTATGTGTTTTTTTGGGCACCTTGTGTAACTAAGTTTGACAACTCTGATATAATTTATTCTCCCTCAAAATCCTAATAAGATCCCATGATATTTGACGTTTCTTTATAATGCACAATCCTATTTCAGAAGGCTGCAGTATAAAATGTTACTTTGTTCAAACTCTTACAAAGTATTTGCAAATATCTACATCAAAGTATGTAGTTTTTTCATGAAATATATACATATTTATCATGCATTTGCAGATCCATCAATCCATTATCTTTCGCCATGTTTCCTTTCTRGCTCCTCGGTGCCCATGTCCAGCAGTCAGGGACACAACTCATACTACTTCTAATGGTGAAGCAGGTAGCATGAAATTACATTTTAAATACAATAAAACATAACATACAGAGCTTGCCATGCTGACTTGATATATCCACAAATCTGTGTGTTTTGGGGTTACATCATGTCATTAAGTTTCAACCTATCCCTTTTTTTAAAATCAGAGAATATTCTATCCACCTTGACGGGAGCATCAGAAGATGACCTCTGTCCTGTCAGACAAATGACAGGAGGAAGCACAGCGGTGCTTTCATAAAGCCGCAGCACTTGTAACAGGTGGCTGATTGCATTAGGTTTCCATCTGAGCGGCAGAGATCAGGAACACAGATCTACACTCATATTTAAAAAAGAAAGGTTTCTAATCATCAAGATTGTCATGTGACATCATTTAGCTGCAGAATGTAGCCCGTGTGAGCTGGACTGTGTATCAAAGCAAAAAATAACAAGGTTTCGGAGATGGCTTTCGGTCAGCCGGCCCCAGCCAAGGGCCTACTTAACAAGGTTATATGTTCAGAACCCAGGAGCACCCATGTCTTATAGGTTGATGTGGTCAGTTAATCATAAGAATTGTCCATTAAAAATACAACACCCATTTTTTACAGACCTATTGTAGCTTTCTAATGCTTCCTGAAATACTTATGCAACCTTCCAATTAGGACTTCCTGTTTGTTCCTTTATTTATTGAGGCAGTTTTTAGAAAAAAAAGCTGAAGCAGTAACAGCAAAGTGAACAAATATTGTCGTCTTATGCTAACCAAGATAATGTCAAATTTGTCATCTTTTTAAATTTTCTTAAACATCAGAGTTTTATATTTTGGTTCAGGCAACAGAAAAACTGCATACTGGCGGTTGTGGCTGTAGGGTATAGTTTTTTTTAATAATTAAACTATACAGGTGTTCCTCTAAGGCAATTTAATATGTGTGGCATTACTTTTTAACAGTTGTAATCATTGTATGTTAAGGCTACTTGCAGAACATAACTGTGCTTTGACCATTGACCATTTTGTAAACAAACATCCCAAAGTTCACAGCAGCTCTACTGAGAAACTGAGGTTCCTTTAGGCCAGCTGATGATCATGTTTGTGTAACCAATTTGCAACCGTCACATTATGAGCTTTGAAATGCAGTTGTCCAAAAAAAGAAAGAAAATCACCTCCAAGAAATGTACTTTATTTTCATGTTTTTCTTAAAGTGTTTCAAACCAAGTCATTAGAAATTAAATGAGATTAATTAATTTAATTGGGCTTCTTTTTATATACTGTTACATCAATTATCATGCACAGTGTGTGAATTTTTTTTTTTTGCTGTTTTAAACACATCTTAAAATTTTTTTGACTAAAAAGTTCTTACTGTCTAGAAAAAAGCAAACTTTATTTAAGTAATACAAAAAAGCTAATTTTTCATTTTGCACTATTTAATTAATTAATTAATTATTATTATTTTTTTTTTTTTTAGAAGAAAATGGATTCCTTGCAGTCCTGTCTGACTGACCTGGCAGGCCAGAACCACTGAGGACTTGTAAAAGAGGGGCCAGATGCAAAAATGCCAGTTTGGGAATAAAGGTACACTTTTCTGATCATGTTATAAACACAGGATTTCTTTTTTTTTCTTTTTGAAGACAATATATTTTACTGCTTTTAAATGTTTAATAACGTCAATGGAATTGTTGCTATATTTATACAATCAGACTTTGCAAGAGACCATCCCAAACGAAAACACAGTATTTGTGTATTACTACAGTTTATACCATTTTTAAAATTATATTATATTTTTCAAACAAAAACAAAAATCAATTTAAAGATATAAAGTGAAAAACATTTTCAGTTTCTGATAATGAAAGAACGATTTTTTAGTTTTAGCATGTTTTAGTTGCCAGACTTCGGAGATTTTAATTACACATTTATGGTCAGAAACTTAACAATGTATTGAAATAAATGTTAATAATAATTCACAAAGAATAGCCCTCTCTTTAACTATGGACATTTATTTAGTGCTCTGCGGAGTAGAATATGTCAGCAGGACGAGAAGCCTACTTGTAAACAATATCAAGTATGCRTGAGCACCACGGTTAAAGAGTTTATTTAAATGTGGTAAAATGAGAAAAGGAGAGAAGAGCAGTTCATGGTTTTCTTTTCTTTGCTGCAGTACTATTGTATCCAGGATCTTTTGTTTGTGTACRCTAATGGATGTCAAACCATTTCCCTCTTAATAGAATTCAATCAGTGGCGATCACACTGAATATGGTTAACAGTACAGTATGTGACAGTTCCTYATTGTTTGGACTGAATAATGCAACTTTGTAGAATAATGACAATATAAGAAAAGCAATTAGAAACAGTGGACCTGTGCATCACTTTTCTGTTTTTGTGCATAATGGCGAGCGCTCTTTGTTAAAGATACACACAACTCTCGAATGTAAACCGAAAGAATGAGGCAAGTAGAGGAGGTCCACCGTAATTATCTTTGAAGGTTGCGACCTCGACCGTTTCCCTGAGAAAACTATGAATTATCATTCATTCTTTGTGCACYGGAGGTGAAAAGCTGTGTGCAAAAATCTTTATGCTGAATTATGCAAGTTTCTTTTCAAGACTGCATCAACATGAGACTGGACTAAAGACATCATCACCACCACTTAATATAGCCACCTTAAGTTATTGTTCCTTTTTACTTATAGCCTGACTTCTATCAATATTCACTCTTGTGAGTGAGTTTTGCACACAGAAAAGTAATTATGGCCTATTATACATCAGAGTACTTACCTGCTATTATGAAGAAGGTCAGAGGACTTTCTTTGTATGCCRGCTACAGCAAATATAAAGGTTGCTGTAAAACAGTGCTTTGCGTTTCTTAGCACTGCAAACATAAAGCCTCTGTTTAGTGTCCATGTAAAGCTTTTTTTAAATAAACAAAGTGCTTCAGGTAAAACACCAACTTGTTTGCAGTTTGATTTACATTATTTCTTGCATGTCTTTGAGTTAGTTTTGTAGTTTAAACTGTTTTTTTAGGTTGAAGTGTAAGAGATGCTGACAGAAAAGTGAGAAAAGCGGACATTGATTATTCTAACATGTTTTACCAGCACTGACTTTTTCAGTTTGGTTGAGTTTTCTATTTAGCCCCTGATGATAAATATATATAGTTGAAGAATGAATGTCAAAGAATTTTTAAACGTTTTTACTGCCAACTGTCCTCAGTTTTACTATTCTTAGCGTCAACAGTTGCTGTTTTAGGCAACCAAATGTCGCTGCCACTGGTTCATCTTCTGAGCTTTTGACCATCCATTTTCACTGATCTTAATTGATGCCCTTGGTGTCATTTTTATGCTACTTTGTATGTTTTCATGGTCTAGATTGGTAAACAAATACAAACAAATGGACTGCCTCACTCAACAGTCTATTAGGATAGTCAGGGGACAATAGTGTGTTTCTGCTCTGATGTCCATAATGTGAAATCCAATCAAAATGAAGAGCATTTAGAGGTACTTATGGACTGTTCCACCATGTAAACGATGCAGTGAGCTCTGTAATAGGAGCTTTGCTAACGTCTGATTGAATCGTAGTGTATGGTCCTGTTGATGCACAATTGGACTAAAGTCTAATGGACACTAAACAGAGTTTGYTTTGTGGTCGTAATATCATGAAATCCCAGACTTGTGTTTTAGAACACCGCAATTAGCCTGGACTCTATTTTTCATCCACAGACAATTTTATAAAATTAGAATTAGATTTTTTTTTTGCAAAAAATGTTTTTTAGCATTTACTGGTTGGTATGACTTTAATATGCCACTCAACCACGCATACATAGTTTCTTCAACGCCTTTCCATGTAGGGTTGCGGAGAACTGGTGCTTAGCGGTGATTGGGTGAAAAGGTGAGGCATGCCCTATATGAGTTGTCAGTTCATCACATKGAAATTATTATGTCATGTGTGCCTTTTGTGTTTCTGTGTAATATTGGATTCTTAATATTTTTCTGTCTGTGGTATTTAATTAAGTTCATAACGTTAGCTGTTGAGGCTGTGGTAACTCAATCTCGTAATTCTGGCAGCAGGCATGAGCCCAGCTTGCCTCGGGAGCCAAGCCTTTGATACATGTTTGAGACCCCTGCAGAAAGGAAAACAACAGTAGTAAATCTTACACTGAAAAAAATAGCTTGTAAGATTTACTTGAAAAAAAACCTCGTAACAATTTGCACTAACATTTGTTAAGTAAATTTAAATGCTACAAATTCATGTAATATTTACTCATCATTATCTAGTAAAAGTTATTAAGAATATAGTTAAAGATTTGTGAATAAATCAGGTACATTTTACTTAATTTGCTCAATTAAATCTTGTAACATATACTTGATCAAGAAAGAAACCAGACAACTTATGTTTTATTTCGACCATGTCTTGTCCTCTCCTTGAAAAGTGAAGCAAGGGAATGAGGAGCAGCAGCCTTTGTGTGCATGCACCCTCAGTTTTAGCCCAGAAGAGTAGAAGTTACTTAATATATTCATGTTTATGTGCTGTCCAGAAAAAAAAACACTTAAATATTACTGGTAAAATAATATTAGCATTTACTTTTTTTGTACAGTAATATTGATATATAATATAATGCATACTGTTTATTTAGTAAATTCAAGTAGTTTAGAGATTTTGATATTTTTTGTGAAATTTAAAAGAATAATTAAACAAACGTTACTACACCCAAAAGTTTGTTTTTTTCAGTGTAGTTGTTGGTCTGAACTGTACAGATCTGGTTGGGTCTGGTCAAGATTTAAAACGAGGTCAGATTTGTTCATTTATAATCATTTGGAAGTTCTAGTGCTCTGTTTGATCCTCTTCCTCTGCCATCTCAGCATTAGTGCACACTTGAAGTATTGCTATTGTGATCAAACTCAAAATACCCCTGTGGTATTTTTTTTCCACGTTTACCACAAATGTAAATAGCTGTAATGATGAGAGTCTTGGATTTTATGTGATTCACAAAGTCACTTTGACATTCTCATGAACTACAGAACAAAGGGGTTCTTAAAATGTAAAGGCAAGGAAACCAAATAGGAAAATTGATCTCGTGGCTTAATCCATGGTAATGAGAACATAATTTTTCCTGTCATGTGGAACACCCTTTGTACTAACATTCCCCAAAACCATTTTGTCCTCTTTGCGTATTTTTTTTTTTACAGAACATTATAAAGGATGTCAGTAACTTACACTATAGCTGAGTAAAAGTCCTTATGGTCCTTAAAAGGGGGACTTTTCTGGAATTAATCAAAGAAGTCCTGTGATCAAAATGACCACAACTTTTTTCGTGTGTTACAACCACATAAGGATATAATAACTAAGTGCTTCATTCTGTTGCTATGTGACAACGGTGACACAAATAGGCCGTTTTCTCAGCACTTCAGTCAAATTAATTCTGATACAGTTATTCACGTGCATTTTGTAGCTACAAATGATTAATAGCACAATTAATCTGACTAAATTTGTGTAGTTCATTTGCTGGACACAATGCAAAAAAGCATTTGCTCCAAACCTGAGTAGTTGTAACAACTCTGCTTGAGTTAATGAGAGAATGTGTAAACTCAATTCATGTTTGCATTAAAAAAAAAACAGTCTCTGAACTGTGTGGCCTCTTCTCAACACCCCCCCCCCCAACACACACACACACACACACACACACACAC